TGATACACCTATCACTTTCCACTTTCCACCCAAATTGTTTATGTTGAGAACCATAATAGAGGGCTACCATGTATTGAGTGTCCAGATGCTGCCAAGTATTGTGCTAGGTAGTTCATGATATTAAATTTCATTCATCCTTACAGTAACCTTTCCAGATAGTTCTTAGTGTCCCCACTTTAGAGATGAGGAAACCAAAACTCCAATAGTAAAACAATAAAATAAATTGGCCAAGGACACACAGTTAGTAAATAACTGGTGGAGAAACCATGTGATTTATTTGGAGGAGGGAGGTTCTAGACCTCCATGATTTCTATCAGTGCCATCTCCACTTACAACCAGGCTACCCCCCTCAAACCCCAAAATAGAGAAATTCCAGTGCCAACATGGTAGGTGGTAAATCCAGGCCTGGCTGACTCCAAAGCAGTTCCCTATTCATTTATGTATGTGTCTGATCACCCAGCAAACTCTAAATTCTTGTGTCCACGTCATTTCCAACATCTTCGTAGTTTAGAAAAATGCTTGGCATGTGTCATAAGCATTCAGATTTCATTAAGGTGTATCATTTGATTCCCAGTATAGCCTACTGAGTGTTCTAATCATTCATCCAAATAATTGCCAAGTGCTAGTCTACCCTCGGTCTTGAGAGGAAATGATTTCTTCGTTTCTGTTGCAGGTGCACTCAGGCAAATGGCTGTTATGTTTTATGCATCTGTGATACAAACGTTGTGAACAGACACTGAAAACGTGCACTGTAGAGATCATGAGTACAAAAATAATTATAGTGTCTTACAGCTGCCAAAACATTTTAACGTACAGTATTTCACAATGGTCCTGTGAGGCAGGCAAGGCATGTATACCCATTTTCACGCATCCTACTGTCTGACACCAATCCTTCGCACTGAGGATTTTTTAATGATGGCATTTATATTCTAGTAGCAGACAGACAATGATTGTGAAAATCATCAAAATATCAATGTTAGATGGAGAAAATTGCTACAGAGATGAAGCAGGGGAGGTCAGATGCACCAGGGTGAAGAGCTGCCATCTTAAACAAGGTGGTCAGGAAAGCTTTCCTAGTAGAGTGGCAATGAGCAAAGAGGTGCTTGATGTGGTGGTGGGCTGTGTTCCAGGAGGAGGGAACCACATGCAGAAGCAACAAGGATCATGTCTGTGATGAGTTGTAGGAGCAGCAGAGAAGTCTGTGTGGAAGTGAGTGAACAGAGGGAAAAAGAAAGGAGAGAAGACGAGGGGAAGGGAGGAGAAAAAGGAGGAAGAGAGGGTGAGGCTGTGGGGTCACAACAGAGCCAGACTGTGTAGAGCTTTGCAGGCTACTTTGGAGGGGGCTCAAGAGGAACAGCAGGTATAGACAGCTCTTTGAGGAGTTTTGCTGTAGCTGAAGGAAAGCAGAGAAATGGGATGATAGGTGAAGGTAGGGATGGGTTTAAGAGAGAGAAATTTTACGGTCGGAGAAATTCTTCTATTTGAAAGCTGGAAGCTGGTGGGAATAATCCAGTAGAGAGAACATTGATGAGGCAAGAAGGCCAGCAACTGCCAAGATGACTGGAGCACAGACAGCTCACTCATAATAACACAGGCAAGCCAGCACCTGGTCATAGATTCAAGCACATGCGTGGGAGCAATGGTGGGGGCAGTGGATGGTCTCTCCTGATTGCTTTTATTTCATCAATAAAATCAGGAAGTGAGGCCATGGACTCAGAGGAAGGATGGGAAGGACACAGGAGAGGGAACAAAATGGTCCCCTGGGAGAGTAGAAGAATGACTGGCCAGGGAAATATGCTTTAACCCACAGGCAGCATGAACAGCTCCCTGAAAATTAGTTGCCACAATAAGGTGGGAGTATCCAGCACAGTTATGAGATTCTCTTTAAGGTTAAAATTATGCACATCAGAAACACAGGTGTTACATGCAAACAGAACAGGGACTTGAACCCAATCCTCCATCTCCTAGCCCAGAAACTTCATTTAGCACTGTTAGAATTTCCTCAAAAAATGACCATTTTTTTTACCGTCGTCATAATCAAAAAGCATTGTTTGAGACTAGGGTTGCCAGATTTACCTAATTAAAATATAGGACACTCCATTTAGTTGGAATTTCATATAAAAAACAATTTTTTTTTTTAGTATACACATGTCCCATGCAATACTGGAGCAATATTTTGGACACAGTTACACTAAAAAATTACTCATTGCTCATTCGAAATTCAAATTTAACTAGATGTTCTCTATTTTATCTGGCATCCCTAATAGAGACCCTTCTCCGAAGATACAAAGAGATAACAGTCCTAGTTGCTGTCTCTGAGAGTTTACCATTGGATCAAAAATATAATGTAAGGTATTAAAGAACAGTTCAGAGCAAGGCAATGGACTTCAAAAGTCCCAGGCCAGGCACTGTGGCTGATGCCTGTAATCCCAGTACTTTGGGAGGCCAAGACGGGCGGATCATGAGGTCAAGAGATCGAGGCCATCCTGGCCAACATGATGAAACCCCGTCTCTACTAAAAATACAAAAATTAGCTGGGCATGGTGGTGCACACCTGTAGTCCCAGCTACTTAGGAGGCTGAAGCAGGAGAATCGCTTGAACCTGGGAGGAGGGTGCAGTGAGCCGAGATCATGCCACTACACTCCAGCCTGGGCAGCAGAGCGAGACTCTGTCTCAAAAAAAAGTCCCAACACTGCTCAACTCCCAAGTCCCAAACCTGTAAGTCAGCCTACTTCTCATCTTGGTGTCCTCCGCGGCTACGAAGACACCTAGCCAAATGGTCAACATCTGCTAAGTACTCAACAAGAACCTGTCATTGACCCAACCAAGCTATCAGTCAATTAACAAAAGATCATTTCCTGTTTCAGAAATCTGCTTTGGAAAACATGTTATCTGAGACCCAGTCTCGGTACTCCTGCAAGCTCCAGGACATGCAAGACATCATCTCCCACTACGAGGAGGAACTGATGCAGCTACGCCACGACCTGGAGCGACAGAACAATGAGTACCAAGTGCTGCTGGGCATCAAAACCCACCTGGAGAAGGAAATCACCACGTACAGACAGCTCCTGGAGGGAGAGAGCAAAGGGTAAGAAGGCGAAGGCTGGCATGAAAGGAGCATGTGACGCGCATCCAGCTCCTGTGGGTGTATGTGTGAATCTCTGGGTTTAGTCAATCTAGCAAAAGAAAAGTTGTGTTGAGTTTCTCCAGAAGATACCTATAGCCGGTTGTATTTCACTAAGCAGCAAGTGTAATTAATCAACTAATACTCACAGGACACTAAGATTTGCAATCAGAAAAGCTAAGGTCTCTAGCAGGAAACAATTAAAAAGATTTTGGCCATGGTGTTTCCCAGTGGGAATGCACACAATTTTGGTTCCAAAAAAAAAAAAACCCAGGGGGAATGTGTTAGTCCACCAGCCAAAAAAAAAAAACTGTGCATACAAGATTGAGATGTCCAGACTTTCAATCTAATATTTCTGGCCACCCCAGGAAATAACAACAGCTGACATATATATTCTATGACCCAAAAGGAAGTAATTGAAGTTTTATAAAAAATATATAAATTAAACATCGCCAGACCAAACTTTGAACAGTCTGAGAAGCTCAGGGTTCTCAGGCTGAAGACTGAGAACCAGGCAGGGATTCTGGAGGAAACCAAGCTTGCAGCTGGCTGAACAGAATGGATGGTTGGTGGACATTCCCTAACTCCAGCGTTAGTAGAAGGCAGTACCCAATGCCTTCTGCATCCAGATGGGTTCTCCCATGAACTCATGACCTTGAGACTACTAAGCCCAGACAATTATCCTCATTAAAGAGCTGAGGATTTACAAGCAACTGAAGGAAGTTAGTTCATTCTGAGAAGTTTTTATGATTGTTGCTGGTACTAAAGTGAGTTTTAACCTTTATCACTTTTATAGGACAATGGAAGAATCAAAGTCGAGCATGAAAGGTAAAAAAAAAAAAAATTCTTTAATTGTTTGAATCTCTATTTTTAAGGAATTAGCATGGTTATCCATTCTGTAGTAGTCATAATCCTTAGCATACTGTACTCATTTCCAGTTCTCTGCTGCAGGGAAAAGGGATTTCCTCAAGGGGGGATTTTCTCCCACTCTCCAGGAGATGAGGATCTCTGAACAGTGTCACCTTCTGGAGGTGAAGACCTTCATCATAGGTGTGCTTCCACCATCTGAACTGCTTCATGTGGAACCTAGTCTCTGACCACAAGCACTTGGGGAATTTTTTCTCTGCATGTGGGCTTTGTAGTGCTGCACAGATTCCTTGAGCTTACAGAGCACTCAGGGCCATTGGAGGTACCTCATTTTAAGGTCTAGAAAGCATGCCACATGAGGGCTGGGTGAGAAGCCAGGGATGCTTACCACGGCTGTTTTCAAATATATAACTTACTTGAATAAATGCCTGTTGAAACATCAATAAACCAATTCTATTCCACATGGAAGAACTGAAATCATTAATAAAATTACAAGGGAGAATTTTGCTTAGTGATCATTTTGGAAGGTGCCGAGAGCCTTCAGGGGCTGACAGCAGGGAACTGGAAATGAGTACAGTTCAGATGGTGGAGGAGGCATGGCAGTGACGTTTTCCGTACTCTTTTTCTCAGCGTCTGCAACTCGAAAGATCAAGACCATAACACAGGAGACCATCAATGGAAGATTAGTTCTTTGTCAAGTGAATGAGATCCAAAAGCCAGCATGAGACCAATAAACATTTCTGCCTGTTGTAAAATCTATTTTCCCCCAAGGAAAGTCCTCGCCCAGACACTAATGAGTGAGTTCTCAAAGATATCCTTGGAGTTATCAGACTCAGAAGCTTTTATTTTTTTCCTCTGTAACGATCTCACCAGATTTCTTATCATGCTCTTAAAATACTGCACTTTTCGAATCAGTGTGAGTTTATGAGTTAAAGCTCTCCTTTCCTACTGTAGCCTTCAGATTCTCATCATTGTGCATCTATTTTGTAGCCAATAAAACTCCACACTAGCTGCATCATGTCTTTTTTTAATATCATGAGGCAAGACAGCGCCTCGAGGTCTCACCCTAACAAGGGGTTCTCAGAACATTGTCCATGGAAGATCCAGAGAAGTCTCAACATCAGGCACGTTCACAGCAGCCAGACACTGGGCAGAATTGTCACCCTGTAGCCAGGCAGCCTGGGCATCAGGCTTTCCACAATCCACACCTCTGCCAGCAGGAAGAGGGGGAGGAAACAGTGAAAGGGAGGCGCAGAAAGCCTCACTGGGAGTGTGAGATGACCAAAAAGTATGCTCTCTCACTTTTAAGAAGGAAAAATGCTGAAGGGCCTAAAAGAGTAACTCTCTTTTAGGTTATTGCAAGCTAGAAAAGGAAATTAAGGGGGAAAAAATTGCATTACAGGCAGATACTAAGGCTCTAAAAGGGGAAGTAACTCATCTAAGATCCAAATTGTAAACATTAGTATCCTGAGTATCATGCTGTATTAGTCTGTTCTCATGCTGCTATAAAGACATACCCAAGACTGGGTAAGTTATAAAAGAAAGATGTTTAATTGACTCACATGTGGACATGGCTGGGGAGGCCTCATAATCATGGTGGAAGGCAGAGGGGAAGCAAAACGTCTTACATGGCAGCAAGCAAGAGTGCTTATGCAGGGGACCTCCCCTTTATAAAACCATCAGATCTCAGCTGGGAGTGGCGGCTCACACCTGTAATCCCAGTACTTTGGGAAGCCAAGGTGGGCTGATCCCCTGTAGTCAGGAGTTCAAGACCAGCCCAGCCAACATGGTGAAACCCCATCTCTACTGAAAATACAAAAATTATCCGGGCGTGGTGGCGGGCGCCTGTAATGCCAGCTACTCAGGAGACTGAGACAGGAGAATTGCTTGAACCCAGAAGGCAAAGATTGCAGTGAGCCGAGAACACGCCACTGCACTCCAGCCTGGGTGACAAGAGTGAGACTCCGTCTCAAAAAAAAAAAAAAAAAAAATCAGATCTCATAACTATCAGGAGAACAGCATGAGAAAGACCTGCCCTCATGATTCAATCACCTCCCGCGGAGTCCCTCCCACAACACATGGGAATTATGGGAGCTGCAATTCAAGATGAGGGTTGGGTGGGGACACGGCCAAACCACATCACAGGCTGAACTGTAGCAGGTGGGTAAACCATGAGACTACATACCTCTGTCCTCTGAAGAAGATGCCATTTTCTCATTCTAGGAATGTGGGCCACTGTTCTGAGGCCAGTGCAGAGGAGCACTGCTGGAGAAAAGGAAGGGGGAAATCCACATATCCATTAAGACATCGTCAGAAAATGGAATCATAGGATATTAACAATTTAAGAGACTATAGACACAGGATAGTCCAAATCTCCTGTTTTACAGACAAATCAACGGAGGCCCAGAGCAGTGAAAGCATTCGCCCACTCACTGGATTGGAGCAGCTGCGTCTAGACCTCAGTCTCGACTTCTTTAACAGCTGTTAAACCAAAAATGAGTGTGATTTAGTCCCATTGTCACCTGATACATTGGCAATGTCCTATATAGTTTTTGTCTCTGTGTTTAATACTCTTTTGTAAAGCGTTGCTTTTGATATTTTCTGAACTGAGCATCTGTTAAAATTGGATTCATCCTCTCTTTAAAGCTACAATTGGTGTTTCTGATCTTTAATGCCAAAGAATAGAAAACCAGCCCCTAACGATTTGAAATTAGGCAAAAAAAAAAAAAGAAGGAAAGGAACCACACCCTAGCAAAAGTTACTATTGGTTTAACTAAAATACACTAACTGTCTGGTGTAAAATTAATATTTATCATTACTCTTTCAAAGAGACTCAAAAATAACCAGTGTCACTAAGTTTTCTTTGTGCAGTATTTGTATGTGGTGACTTGTTGTTATTTGGGTCAATAATGGATTCATATTTGTTTTTGGTACTTTCTCTTTTTCTATTTCAATTTACTAGGAGAACTTTACGTTACTAGGTATTGTAGTCTCTTAAGCAGATCTAAAAATGATTTTTTTCTCTATTTTAGCACCAACTCATTCTGCTCTTTTAGAGTGAAAATTAAATAAGACTTTAAGGATATTTTAGGTCCTTGGATGAAAAATTATTCGTTATGTTATGATGTACATTACCAAATCATACATCAACTATGATTGTAAATGGAAGATCTTGGCCTCCCAAAGTGCTGGGATTGGAAGTGAGCCATCACACTTGGTCTAGCTTAGAGATTTTTAAAAGTTTAATTTGTGTGAAATAATAGAGCATGCCATTTATTTGGGATAAAATAACATATTTCTAACCATAGCTTTCATGGACATGAAGCAACTTGTACCATAGTTTCACATATACCTATTTGGTCTTTCACAACAGAAAACGAATAGTAAATAATACCATTTTTTTTTTCTAGCCACTAGGCGACCAAGGATAAATAATATCATTTTTATAATGGTAAATTTAAAAATTTATAAATGGATATTTAAATTTATCTTTTAAATAACGGTATTATTTTCTGGGTATGCTGTAGATATCAGTGGCCCCAATGAATCCATGCCTTCCAGCACTCATGCCTTTCTGTAGGGCCTCCCACATGGAGCTGGGTTTGGTCATGAGACTTGATTTGGCCAATGGAACATCAGCAAGCTTGCCACAAGCAGAGGCTTACTAAATGCTTGCACATTGCGGGTTATCCTCTTGGAATGGCCTATAGGAAGCCAGCTACCATGTGAGATGCTAAATCACCCTAAGACATCATACTGTGACGAAGTCTAAGCCAGCCTCTTGGAGAGCCCACACCAAGCAAAGCTGAGGAATCCAGGCAACAGCCATAACTGAGGCTCCAGGCATATGACTGAGTCAAGCCATTCCAGCCAGTTCCCAGCCACTCAAGACGGTGCAGCTGCTCCCAGACGTCACAGAGCGGAAACAGGCCACCCTCAGTATTCCGAATCCAAAATTCTGGCCCACAAAAATAATTGTGAACAAATAAAATGGCGGTTGTTTTTAAGCCAATAAGTTTTGGGATTGTTTTTCATGCAGCAATAGGCAAGTGAAATAGAGTATTTTAAAGGGAAGACTCTATTACTTGCTCAGTGACAATAGTTGATTTAAGGCAAAGGAGTTCATTTGCATGCCACTAAACTTTTGACCAGAATATTAGTCATTTTAACACTCACGTGCACCTCCAAGAAAGTCCTGGTCTAATAACAACAGATGAAGCACCAAACTCTCAAGAGAAAAGCCAGGGTCTACCCTCTTCAAAGACAGTAGAGAGTAAAGCCATTGCCCATGAATGATATTCACAGCTCTCCTCTCGGCTCCTTCCCAAGAGGGACCAGCAGGGTAGCTCCAACCTGGAGAGAGGGCTTCCCCTGCTCCTCACTCTAACATGCTAGGATGCTCAAGTAAATTCTTCTTCTTATCTTTAAGTTTCAATTCCTTTTGACTCTCTGTTTTAGTTCCTCATTCCAGGGACATTAACAATTTCTCTACAAATATTTATGCCCACAAATCAACAGTTTCACTAAAGGTGATCTGTTTTCAACATAGGTAAGCATTGTTCTCCTTCACCAAGAAACTATAAGTCATTTACAAATTGAGGTGATCATAATTATTATTACGTAGCTCCTAGTCATAATATTTAAAAGTCATTAAGAGTATAATTCATTTATTCTAGCCATGATTCTTCACAATAAAATACTTCACGATACTCTGAATGCTATACTTTAATACAGCCTTTAATCAATAAGTACTTTTACGATTTTTGGTGTTTACCTATCACCTGGAGTATTTTGTTGGTTATTTCCATATGGTAACAACATTGGTTTTCCGAATTACTGCATGCTTACGTTCATTCCAATGTGTGTGACTCATTTCCATCTCATCTATTCTATTACAACATCTATGTGTCACATCTCTCTGAAGAGGATTAGAGTTTCTAAAATATACTTGAGGTGAGATCACGTAAAAAGGAAAAGACAGTGTTTCTGACATACTCAACGATGACCTAGTGATACTCAGAAGTTCTACCTTAAAATTGCATGTGTGTGTGTGTGCGTGCGTGCATGCATAACTATTTCAGATATGGATTGTCCTACTCACCCAAACTTCTCTTTGAAATTTAAATGGGAATTTCTCTAATAAAATTATGAGTCATCTCATAAAAACTACAAGTCAATTTATGCTAATTCCATGGTATGCCTACACAGCATAGCACGTATGCATATGACGTACATACACATATGCCAGGAGTGTTTTAAATAACAACTATCCATGACTGAGCTTTATATTAGGATCTCATTTAACATTTGTCACAGCCCTGTGTCATATTACCTGTATTTTATGTTTGGGGAAACTGAGGCTCAAATGGACTGCATTAACTTGCCTGTGGTCATACAGCTATAAAATGATGGAAACAGAACTTGTACCCAGTGTATTTGCTGTTTGTGCCACATGAGTCGACAGTGCTTGCTAGAGAGTTACGTGAAATCAGAACACGGGCAACACATTTTAATGAGCCCTTGCTGATGGCTTTCATCTAAGGTTAAGAGTCCAGGGATGAGAAATTTGGATTTTCCTATTTGAAAATCAAAACTCATATTTTTCAGAGGCAATTAGTAAGCAGTTTGACATCACTTGCCTGATGATAGAACAAGATCCATGAGTCAGAAATAGGCACTCAGGACCAGAGGACAGGTTTTTATGACCAAAAGCTACCTTCTCATTTCTCAAACCTCCAGGCATCCACTCCTTTGCACACAGAGGTTGTGCTCTTAACTTGTTTTAGCCTAAAACCAATCAGCATCAGGGATGATGATGGCTTCCCTGAGAGCTTAGCAAGTTCCAAACCTGGAAGACATCAAACCTTTGACATCTGTCCAGTTAAGACTCCACACTCACTCTTGGTTTCTATCAAAATCGTCTTTCCCCACACACAGAATATGACAGGACAAGGCAAAGAGAGGGTGGTAATAATGGACAGGCCACAAATACACCTAATACCATCAACAGTCATAAGCTGAAAAGATTTTATCCAGAGTCTCATCACAAAAAACATATTCTGAAAATGTTCGTGTATCATCTCCAGCACCCTAGGAAGCAGTCGTTTCAGGTCGCCACCCAGTCCCAAGCCTTGTATGTCAGTACTTCTGAAATCTTAATGTGCATACTTATCATGTGGGGATCTTGTTAAAATGCAGATTCTGATCTAATTGTTCTGGGTTGAGACCCAAGATTTTGCTCATCTAACGAGCTCCTAGAGGATGCTGAGGCTGCTGACCCATGAGTCGCAAGATTATGGGTGATTTCGATCAATTGACGATTCGATGCATTCCCCACCGTGAATGTCATGTCTATAAATGAGTCTCAGGACTGGTTTACATGAACAGGATGAAGGCAACATCGTCAGAATCCCACTAGCACAGTCTGGCTCCACGCAAGCTAAACCTGCAAGAGCATCAAGTCAGGCCTGGAAGGGAGATGTTTCCTAGGTTCTCACCAAGAACAGAAGACAGAATGAGGTCTGGAAATTAAGGTCGATCACATCGCCCCAAGCTTTTCCTGGATTCCATGCATAGTACAAGCCATGAGAGGTTCACAAATCAGATTCATGGGAGAGGATGGAAAACACGTGTCCAAGTTTGTCTATTGTGTTAGCTATTGTGTTAGCTAATCTATTCCAAAAAGTGTACCCCTATTTACGTATAAGTGAGTATTCACTTACAAAAATCTTTCTAAATTCTCTTCAAGGGCCATTTCTTTCTTCAATGAACCGAACGATGGCTGAAGTTTTTGTTGTTGCTGTTGTTGTTGTTTTCTGTTTTGAGACAGAGTCTCACTCTGTCCCCCAGGCTGGAGTGCAGTGGCGCCATCTCAGCTCACTGCAACTTCCGCCTCCCGGGTTCAAGCGATTCTCCTGCCTCAGCCTCCAGAGTAGCTAGGATTACAGGTGCGCACCACCACGCCTGGCTAATTTTTGTATTTTTAGTAGAGAGAGTGTTTCACTATGTTAGCCAGGTTGGTCTCGACCTCCTGACCTCATGATCCACCCACCTTGGCCTCCCAAAGTGCTGGGATTACAGGCGTGAGCCACTGCACCTGGCCTGGCTGAACTTTTAAGAAAAAAACAACAACAACTCTGAGAAATTGTGTCCTATTCCATACTCAATTAAATCATCTTGGACAGGCTGCTTTCCTTTGTGGTATGGATGTCATTACTCTTTGTTTTCAAGAAAGTTGTACTGGAATGAGTGGAGTTGGAATAAAGAACCCATAAAGAAGTGGTCATTCAATACCTGCTTCACGCCTACTGTGGTGTGAGTCACTATCAGGAAGACAAAATAAGGAAGCTAGAACTTCAGAGAAGGAAATTTAAATATACAAAAGAGTCCCTTTGCCCAACTGCAATTCCTGTCACCCGTAATCATGGTAAGTGATCCTAATAATGATTATCTTTGCTTGTATTATGATAAGGAAATTGATTTGAGCTGGGAAACAAGAAGAAACCATGTCTCTTCAGTAAAGCTCTTTCCACCCTCCCACACTCAACAAAAACTTCATAAAGCCACTGGTAACTCTTACGCCCCGCTCCACCGAGTCGACTCCTGCGACTGGCCTCACGCCCTTCTCAAGCACCCAGGGCCTTCCCCGGTGTGGCCTCAGCTTGTTTTTCCAGAGGGCGGCCGTCATTACCTGAATGGCAGGTTTGCTACGCAAGCGCCTTAGCATAGGGCTTTGTAGACATCATGCCTGGGCTGTCATTAGTGTCCTCTGAAAGTAATAATCAGCCAGCAGACCAAAGAAAGACATTCCAAGAAAATCCACTACTACCAGTGTATGGGGAAACCAGGGAATAGCTAATTGATGTGTTTTTAGTTCATCAAAGAAAGGCCTAACTTCCACACAGCACACAAGGATAGGTCACCCCAGAGTCTATTTATGACTATGCCCGGCTACAGCGCTGAGAGCTGGGGAAGGCTGCGCCCTTGTAGCTGGCAGCCCTGGGGAAGCAGGTAGCATCTCCCATCATTCCCTTATGGATAGGAGGCTGAGCCAGTGGAATATCTTAGTGTGGGAACATGGCCTTTTGCATTTCTCTCTCCATCTCCTGCTCTCCCCCTACAATGTTAGGTGCTCGGAAGTTTCCAGAAGAGGCCCTTCTACAAGAGACAAGCCATCATCTGTCTCCCTCCTCTGCCCAACCTCCAGTGTGGATCCACCAAAGGTCAATAGGGCCCTAGGGAGGAGATGACAGCACGCAAGTCTTCTCTTTTCCACCTACCCACACTGCCTCTCAGGCAGCCAGAGGTCAGAGTGACCAAGACCAGGCTCTGTCTCAGACTACACTGTGGCTGTCTTAACACAGCAGATATCTAGAGTCAGTCCCCTCCCCTTAGCATGAAGCAGAAGGAAGAAATGAGTCCCATGTGACAAGCACCTGCCCACAGCAGACAAAGGTTAAAACTACATCCTCCAGAGAGGTGCCCCTGAGTCTTCAGGCAACTGGCAAAGGGGAGCTGGGAGCTTGCACCTCTGAGCAAGCCAGAGACCCATCTTAGGGGTTCAGAGACTGAGCAGCCTGGGCAAAAGGAACCCCCAGACACCTGCAGGTGGGGATCATGGTGGATAAAGTCTGGGGCTGGGAGTTCAAGGCTTTGATCTTCTTCCAGTATCTTTGTGATATCTGATCCTCCCCATTTTTTCCCATCAGATGTGAGTAACGAGGAGAATTCATGGCCAACCCCAATAATCCTTTATAATAAAACTTTTTAAGTGGCCTTTGCTACTCTTTTTTTTTTTCTTTTCTTTTCTTTTTTGAGATGGAGTCTCGCTCTGTTGCAAGGCTGGAGTACAGTGGTGCGAGCTTAGCTCACTGCAACCTCTGCCTCCCGGGTTCAAGTGATTCTCCTGCCTCGGCCTCCCAAGTAGCAGGGACTACAGGTGCATGCCACCATGCCCATTGAACTTTTGTCTTTTAGTAGAGATGGGGTTTCACCATGTTGGCCAGG